GGCCAGAGTCCCACCCTCCAATGACTTCAAAGGAGGAATGAAGCTGGAGGCCAGGGACCCTCGCAACTCTAACTCGGTGTGCATCGCGACCGTGATGGGCATGATGGGTACTCGTCTACGGCTGCGTTTGGATGGCAGCGACAACACTAATGACTTCTGGCGGCTTGTCGACTCGTCGGACATCCAGCCAATAGGAACCTGCGAGAGGAACGGAGACATGCTGCAGCCGCCTCTGGGTGGGTGTCTGAGAGATTTAATTCTCCCAGTGAATTTTCTTTTTTTCTGAAAGGAAACAGTTGTCATGAAAACAATGACAATGCAAAGGGTAAGATTGAGAAATTATATTTCTATACATAGATTATTTTTCTGTGATGATAATTAACATGGGTTAATCAACAGGTTAACGACAACAATCACCTGTTTATTCTGTATAACAGACAGGTTCTGCTGTGTTTATTCTCAAAGAGACCTTTAAAAATCTTTCATACAGTAAATATTGTTAAAGACTTAATCAGTTACAGCCTAAGCAAATAGTTACTATTCATATATAATATATATTTATGTGGCCTGTAGTAGCTGTATTAGTATATATTATTGTTAATATACTACTGCAATATTTGTACATATTACTTCACTTTCGCTTTTTAAAAACTTTACTAGTAAATTATTTTTTTAAATACATTTGTTTATATATTTTTTATAAACATAAAAGGTACATTCTTTTTATTTTCCCTTTTCAACAAACGTGCGCTGATGTGTTGTTTGTAAACCGATGAATAACTTCAGCCTATTCTCACAGGTTTCAGGATGAACGCCTCCTCGTGGCCAATGTTTCTCCTGCGGACTCTGAGTGGAGCCGAGATGGCGCCAGGCTCTGCTTTTAAAAAGGTAACAGTGATCATTTAAAGAAGTCAAGTGTTTAATTTACTGTAACTGATTGTTTGCAGTTTTGAGACAAGAGCTCGAGAGAAAAAAACAATTCTTTCGCCACAAGGTGGTGCTACAGTTTAAACCACGTACCAGGAAAAACGCTGAAAACGTCAGCGATGCAGTGAATTCATAGTCCTCACTGTGTTTACTGGTTTGTGTGTTTGTTTACATCCAGGAGCCACCGTGTCCTGCCAAAAACTACTTCCAGCCTGGAATGAAACTGGAGGCCGTGGACAGGAAGAATCCCTACCTGATATGTCCTGCCACAGTAGGGGAGGTCAGAGGTCAGGAGATTTTCATCATGTTCGACGGTTGGCGTGGAGCCTTTGACTACTGGTGCCCCTTTGATTCCAGAGACATCTTCCCCGTGGGCTGGTGTGCTCTGACGAAGCACAGCCTTCAGCCGCCTGGAAACTTCTGTGAGTGCTTCTTTATTTATTCATTCATTTTACATCGTAGGTTCAGACAGTTCACATCGACACAAAGCATGTGGAAATAATCAGTTCTTTCTGTTGTTCTGTGTGATGGATGCTGCCACCACAGGTTACCTTTATGAGGTGGATTTTATTACTTTTATTTTGAATGGCATTTTAAGGTTTGATCTTGGTGCTTTGGCCCAGAGGCTGTCATTGGTGTGGAACCCCAGGGTTCACCTCCTGGGCAAGTTCGAATCCCGGTGAGGGCGGTTGGTACCTTCCAGTGGACCCACCACCCGCAGGAAGGTTTAAGTATGGTGCAATGTGATTTGGGTGGCGACTGCTGCCCCGGCGACCCGGTAACGGATAAGCGGATGAAAATGGATGGATGGATGGATGGATGGGTTTGATCTTCTGATGTCAGCTCTGTGATATTATGAGGAGAGTGTGTTTTAAGAAATGATCACGCTGTTAATTATTGAAGGACATGAATGGAGATCGACGGATGATCAGTGTGACTGAGGAGGTCGCAATGAGCAGTGAAGACACCTTACAGCTGAAGTTTATTAGTAATAATTTTTAAAAGTATTATTATTATTTTTACTTTCACAGAACAAAACTGTAATATCATATGAAACAATTTTTTTTAATTTAAATTCTAGTAAATAAAAACTAGTCCTAAACTGAGACTAGCTGATGACGTGTTTTACCACTAGAGAGCAGCACCAGCACAACCGCTGACGTACATGTCAACGTTACATCGTCACAGGCTCATAAAACATTTAAATTCTGTTGGTTTTCATCGTTAAACTTCATGTGTTTAAAGGCAGAACAAATGAAACAGTTTCGTGTGAACACAGCAGTAAATAATTTAGTTTGAAAAACCATTGGATGATGAACAAAATGTTAAAGAAACTATTTTGATTCTCCAGTAAAAGAAGTGTTTAAAAGTGTTAAAACAGCTGTCTTCAAAATTCATTTCATATGAAGAACAGCTTGTCGTTTTTAATGAGTACTAAACTACACCTTATAGTACTACAGTACAGTTATTACCACAGTAATTTAAAAAAATCATTTGATGTTTTGAGTTGATTTATGGTCAGATAGAACTTTAACATTAATTTATCATATCAGGACTTTTTTTTAAATATCAATGTTTAAATTATTTGTATAATTTCGTCATACTTTTATATCCCAACAGAGATAGTGTTGTGATAATGTGGTGAGTTATTATGCATTCTGTTAATATTAAGAAAGATAATTATCCTTGTGACATATTTTCTTAATTTATAGTTTGACATGATTTACTTAAATAAGTAACTATTCTATACAGGTCATTTCAAGATTAAATAAACAGGGCTGTAAATCAATTAAAATAATTATTGCAAATAATGATTATGGATAATTAACTTAGGAGTAATTGCAAATGTTCTATCTCTTCTGAATTAAAAAAATCAAAACAATGAGTCATGTTATTACATTTATACATTTTAATTACAGTTATAAACTCAAACATTAACAACGTTGCTTGTTTTTAAGCAAATCTATTTTAATTGTTTTTACTTTTTTTTTTTTAATAATTGAAAACAAGGATGTTGTTCTCCAAAAATGACCTTCGAAATTAAGATTAAATTTTGTAGATGTTTTAAAATAGAACAACTTGGCTTGATGATTTACCCTACAAACATTAGTCCTACAGTAGGTGTTTAAAAACTGTCTCCATAAACATTAGGGCTAAATGTTGACATTAAAGCTACATATATTTTAAATTGTGGAGGCAGCACTCAACCGCTAATTATGAATCAGGATGTAATTATATGCTAATTACAGCCAGCAGTCACAGGAGCAGTTTCTGTGTTAGTTCAGCTGAAGCTTAATGTTCAGGACGACACTGTTTAATCTCACATGTTTAAACTTTGGCCGTTCATCAAATGGATCTGACACATGAGTTTAGACGCTGTAGTTTAGGTCACAGTCAGCAGGTTAACACTCTGTTGTTCACAGGGTGAAAATACTGCTAACCCTTTGAAACCCGTGTACATCCTGTTTACATCCTGGACAGCACTTTCACAAGTTGACGAAAGTAAAGCGTCAGCTGAAATCGTGTATACACTATTCAGATCACTGAAACAGTGAAACAGACACAATCATGTGACTCAAATACATAAGTGCATTTTAGACAAAGAAATAAATGTAGTAAATTACTACACTTTTCACGCGTGTATAAGTCAACGTGAGGTGTTAATGAGCAGTCATTAACTGTGCATGTGCTAACAATGTGAAGGCAGTTTAATAATAAATTTAATATTTATGTATTTTTAGCAGCTACAGTTGGGAGACTTTTTTTAAATTCAGAAATCTGACTTTCATCTCAATAATTACAATTTTTGTTACTAGTAGAAACTCATACATTTAATGTAATTCCATTGTATTTTCAACTATTTTTAGTCTGAGTTGTGGTTTTAATTTTCAGTTGTTGTTTTTTTTATATTTGCTGTCGGTGCAGTTTGGTTTTGTGTCTGCTGAGCCAAGGGGAACTGTCCAAAAAGACAGATTTGTGGGTTTAATTTTAGAGTTGGTGAAAATGTAAGAATTCTAATATTGAAGAAGAAAGAAGAACAGAAAAGGCACTGATTTTTTATTTTTCAAAAAACAAACAAAATCTGATTTTTAAGAAATCTCACTTAATTTAAACAGTTCTGAAGCTAAAATACAGAAACCTGAGTTCCTCACTCTACTGTCAGAATACAAGTTGTACTCAAAAATATTTTTTTAAAAAGTCAGAATTTTATTTGGGGAAATTCTAATTTTAGAATTTTAGATCCAAGTTCAGATCTTATAGGAAAGTAATAATACTGACCACATAATAATTAATTTTTTTTTTATGTGCTCTTCATGTGCCTACTTCAAATCCAGTGAAAGTAGTTGTTTTATAAATTCAAAGTGCCTTTTCTTCACGTTGCCCATCATGGTGCATTAAAAAGAAATCACGTGATGCTTTTTATAAATCTGGGTCAAACTGACAGATTTCTGTTCAATGAATAATGTATGACCAGAGCAGCTCGTCTTCAAAGACAGATTTGCACCAAATAATTGTTTGTTTTTGCATTCCTTTTTCCTACGTTCTCCATTTAGAACCTGGTTAAAGTGC